CATCTCCTCTTCGTGAAATGTCCCTATAGAAGTTGTCCAAACATGGCTTTCAGCAACTTCCTATCCTTTGTAACTCTTAGCAAAATGTGTTTGCTTTCGAAATCTAATCACTGCCCTGCTAACCATTCATAAATCTCTTTTTGGTAGTTCATGCGCTGCTTCTCTTTGCCAGTGAATATCAGATTTTCTAAGCCCTATTTCCTCATCGTGTCCTCTAGAGATTCCAGTAGCCTATATCTGATTCTATGCATGAGAATATACTTTTTCTTTCCATTTTGCTCTAAAACCTCGTCGTTACTCACATGTTTAATCCATGCACTTTCAGTATCCTTCTGTAGGACAATAATTATGCTGCCTTTAACTTCATATCTGACTAGATTCTCCAGAATTCACTACCATATAGAAGAACTGATTCAACATAACAGTCCAGGACTCTTTTCTGTGTTTCTAACGAAATCTTCCTAACGATATTCATTTTAATTTGATAATGTCTATGAGCAAATATAAAATAATAATAATAATAATAATAATAATAATAATAATAATAATAATAAAAACAACTATTAACTTTGGTGATGTCTTTCGCTCTTTCTATATGCCGTAAAACATGACGGGGGAGGCAATCATGTCTATCTAAATTTCATTTGTCCTTTGTCTTTGCAAAAATTCGTTGGCTAAAAGATTTATTAAAGAAGTAACAAACAAATATTTTAGGATAATTTCTGTACTGGGATTCAAACAGTTTGTGTAAAATTGCTGATGAATTTTATATACAATCGCAAAAGTATTATTTGTATTTTTGTGGAATAAAATTTGTCTATTATCTGTTATTAATTTTAACATTTCATTATGTTAAACTCACTACTCGTTTCAACGTACAAAATTAAATCTGAATTATTTTTATTTAAATTTAGGTCGTATGTCTTACATATAATATAGTATAATATTTAGTGAATTTTACTACAATTAAATATGGCAATATCTGAAGCATGATGAATTTAAAATAAGCACTTGAATATATTTTATCTATTCCGTAGTCATGCAAGGAAAATAGTACAGGATTTTAGAATTATACCCTTACCCATTTTTCTTATTTGTTACTGAACCTAAATATGAAATGTATCTGTTAAATTTGGAAAAGGTGATAAACAAAAAAATACGGTTAAATCAAATAGATAAGCATTCATGAAAAACGTTAAATATGCTACAAGTGCATTGGTCATTATTTTTTTGATATTCTAGTTAAAAAAAAACTGTGATGGATGTTAAAGGAATGTCTTTCTGGAAAAGAATCATAGAAATAGCTTAGGTCACATTTTCTATACAAAAAAGATTGGTTTATAAAACCAAGCCATTTTTTCGGAGGTCTGGCAATATTATATAAAAATAATGAGTTCGAAAATATTCGAAATAAATATGCATACATTGATTAGGCAACTGTTTTTTCCTTTAGAATATATACAGCAATAATAATGGTAATTTTATTTCTTTTCTTTATAAATCAACATTCAACTACTCTCGGTTGAAATTTTTAAAACAGTTCTTTTAAAATATTTTTCAGAAGAATATGCTCCTCAAGTCTGTTATTTTTCTTGTAAATATTGATGGGGGCTTACTTCCTAAACGTTTGTTTGAAACAGTATGAAATTTCAACATCTGAATTACATAATTATTTTCCCTTCGCGATACGTATACTAACCGCTTTAGACGTTACTGTCGTTGAACATCCGCAAGTGATGTGGTTGTCTTTTATTTGGTAAAGTCATTTGGGATTTTGGATCGCCAGTTTATAATGTTCGAAGAAGAATGGTTCTTAATACGAACTAGCTTCTCCATTCGAACGAAGACATTCTTAACCATTGAACTGAGAATTCGTTTGTATATAGATAACATTTTATATAATTCTGAATGATTTCGGTGTCCTTCACGAGCATCCATATTAATACGATCTCACGATGCTATTCCCGAACATGAATCGATTTTGCACTAATTTGCGGTGTTAGGGAAAACTATCGCTTCATATTCTATGCTCAATTTCTGTCTTTCATAATAAATTTGTTATGACTGATACTTACAGCAAGGTATTTGTTTCCACATACATAAATTTTCTGATGAAATCATGGTAAGAAACATCACTTTTTTTATTCCAATTGCAAATCGTATTTTCCATTTTGAAAATGCGAATACTTAGTTTGATTACTTGGAACACATAAAATAATCTCATACATTCATCCTTGTTTCCCATTCTCTTAAACACAACCCCATGTAAAGTCTTCTTTTAGAGATTTCTTATCGTTCCCTGGTGTGAAATTTATTCCCGTTTATCAGTGATTTTAAATTTAAAACTCTCAGAAAGACGCCAATGTTTTTTTTTATTTTTTTATTTTTGACCAAATAGCTCTTAATATCTTGTGAGCAATGAACATATTTAATATTCAACATCGCTGGAGTTCATGGAATCTGGAGATTATTTTTTTTTTTATAATTCTCAATCTTTATATCGCTGATTTTATTCGATTGCAGTTCACAGTTGTTCTGTTAATTGAAGGTTTTACATAAATTGATAATAATCAAAAGATGCTTGGCAACGTTTTGAGTATTGCCAATTGAGTTTTATCTGAACTTCGCCATTTCAATCATCTCCGAAAAGTCTGTTCATCCATGAATAGTTTCTGCCCAAGAAAGTTAAAGTTCCTGACAAAACTTGATACATATTCATTATGAATGCAATGCTCTTACAAATAAAATGGCGTTCCAATTTCACTTAATATGACTAATTACAATAGTGTGTGCCTGTCCATGATGCGAGTAGTTGTAAAGTGATAACAAAGACGAAAATCCAGTTACTGAAAGTGGATAGAAATATTTATAAAGTGAAACCAAATGAAAATTAAGATGCATGCTCAATCCGGTGAAAAGTGTTGCGATGCCAAGATCACAGTGTAATTGACCCGGTAAGAATTCTCTTGTGATTCCAGTTTTGATAACTCATTTTTAACTATAAGTGAAAGAACAAACGCGGTTCCTCATAGATTACTGTACTCAGCGTATTCTTCTTTTTGCAATTGAAGATGTATGGACAATGAGCTAACATGTTTTGATATTTGTTATATTCCGTTATGAGATCTGACAAAGAAGGAAATACACAGCACGTGGAATATGATAAAATAGGTGAATAGGAACAAGCTTTAGCGATGATCATTTACAAGATTTGAAACGTGTTAGAGGAAATTGATTGAATGTTAAAAAAAAAAAAAACATCCGTAGGAATTTGAGACTTGAGATATTGCATGTTCCAGAAAGAAATTTATAGAAAATTGTGTTAGAAAATATATAACATTGTGACACATTAAGAGTTGACTTATGTGTAGAAATAATTATAATAAGTATCAATAATAGCGTATCAAAAATATGATTGGAAAAATATATAAAGTAATTGTCAGACGTACACCAAGACAACAGCCTGATATATCAATTTCGAAAAAGTATATTTTCTAAATAGCATCCAGGCAAATTATATATATATATATATATGCATAATATATATATATATATATATATATATATATATATATATATATATATATATATATATATATATATATATATATATATATATATATATATATATATATATATATATATATATATATATATATATATATAAAAATTAAAAAAAAAAAACTTTGGTCTTTCCTCATAATAATAACATAAGCATTTAGACAATAAAATTTAGTTTTCAGCAAGGTTGGCGTCTTTTTTCATCAAGCTATGCTCTTTTTTTAGCGATCTCGTGGAGGTACCTAACTTAAGACCACATTGGGGAACAACTCCGTCCTTAACGTTACCCATGAAATTAGCCAAACATATATATATGTATATATACATATATATATATATATATATATATATATATATATATATATAAGTATAGACGTTTTTTAAGATTTAATATATATATATATATATATATATATATATATATATATATACATACATACATACATACATATATATATATATATATATATATATATATATATATATATATATATATATATATATATATATATATGCTTATACACTTAAAAGAAAAATAATGAATGAAGGCGAATAGATATATTCCTCCTCATCTGCGTGTTATATTATTCCTAAATGCCGGTGCCATGTTGCTCCACATCCTCGTAATCCATGTAGTCTTAGCAAAATTGGCTGGACTGCTAAGCCACCGCCCTCTGCGTTCTGCCATCCATGTACACAAGCTTTTCAGATATGTGTCCATCTGCTTTCCCTTGTCTCCTTTGCCCTGAATATGCTATCCGAGTGCAAAATTCTCCAAGATCTCCTTCTAAGAATAGTAATACATGTAGCTGAAAAAAAATGTGTGCAGGAATGGAAGCAAAGAATAGAAATAATTTTAAAATATTCATTTTAGAAAATGATACTAATATACTAATAATTATGAACTGGAATAGTTTGCAACAATAAATTAAATGAAAAGTCTAAGCTTTCCTGGAGATATTTATTGATATTAGCAAATAGTAGTGAGAAACTAAATTAAATTTTATGTAATTAATAATTTACGACTCCCCTAAATATTCATTATTCACACCTCGATTTGAACAACGTGTATAACATTTCAAATTATTCACTCACAAGGAAGAATATGCAACCCACATATCGCTAATATTTGGGAATATATGAACACACGTATATAAAAAAAATAATTGCTCAAATAACGCTATTGTTGGTACATAAATCCTAAAAATGTTAGTTCCAAATGGACAGACAAAAATAGGTAAATGTTAGGTTGCCGTGGAGAAAATACTTTGATTTTGTGAGAACAAAGTTAAAGCAATACGAAAATATTCATCGATAACTCAAATAAAAAGAGAGAAAAATAGTCAATGAGAAAAATAAAATGTCATTAATACAAAAAGAGTAACTAATAGGATGCAAAGCAATACTCAAGGGAGAATAAGGATATTTTTTGTTATCTTTCATAAATCAGAGTGGAGAAGAATATTAAAGATATGTATAGGCACGCACATGTGAATATTTACAGTGCGGAGAAAAAAGCCACACCAAAGGAAGGAAGAGACATTGGTGATTATGATTAAAAAAATAGATAAGCGAGAAGAAGAAATAATATGCGACTTCACGAATTTACAAAACAAATGAAACATTCTAACACAGTAAAGTTAAAAATTATATTGATGAGTTTGGGAATGTGGTATTTAATTTTAGACCGGTTTAATCTTAGGAAATATAAAGAAGGTACTATATTATTAACTTCAAAATAAATAATTTGGCAGTAAAACTAAACAAGCACACACGTGAACGAAAAAACCGAGGAGAAAGTTTTTTTTTCCCCGAAATCAATATAATGAAAATCATACAAAATATGACATTGTCATAAAATTATGTGGTTACTTATCTGACTCGAAATGTTGTTCATTTATACAAAATTTCTCTTACCAAACGGAGAAGGTAAAAGAATAATAATAATAATAAGAAGAAGAAGAAGAAGAAGAAAAGAAGAAGAAGAAGAAGAAGAAGAAGAAGAAGAAGAAGAAGAAGAAGAAGAAGAAGAAGACTACAGACAAAAACGGTGCTTCCTTATTGACATGGCAGTCTCAGCTGACTGCAATGTATCTTTGAATATATTCAAAAAGCTGTCAAAATACAAGGACCTTGAAATAGAAATCTCGAAAATGTGGCATATGGGAACATCAACAATCCCTGTTGTAGTTGGAGCCCTAGGACTGGTTGGAAAAGATTGCAGTAGACTAATTGAAGGGATTCCTGGAAGTCCATGCCTCAAGGAGATACAAAAAATTGTTCTGACAAGTACAGTCCACACTATGTAATTTTTTTTTTTTGTGTGTCATTGGAAAGTGTCATGATGCCATTTCTAACCTTAGGTCCCTGGGCGGGACCTGGAAAGAAATGTGTAAACGCCAGAAATCAAAGAAAATAAAAAAAAATAATATTAATAATAATAATAATAATAATAATAATAATATGTAGGCTAAATTTCCAATCATTTTACTTTACAAAAATCAAAATGTTTTGAGTCACTGTCTTCGCTAAGAGGTAAACATTGTCACTGATGGAATTTTTTTTGCGATGATCTCTATAATTCCAATCCCTCGGCAATTGTGACCTTCAACATATCCTATCAAATACATGGCATCTCAGATATACAATGCAATTTCAACAATTTTCGTGTTTTTTTTATTAGTTTTAATATTTTTCTTTCCCTAATCCTTAAACTTCGCTAATTTTCTTCAACTTCACATTCCCACTAGAAAAGCAAAAATGAATGTAAGGGATTGAAGATAAAGATAGCTGCAGAATGAGGAAAGCCGAAAAAATATTAAAAGTATCCAAAATATTCATAGAAAATGTGAGGTAAGTATCATATAGTTCACTAAAAGCATAACGAAGTAAAAGACAGAGCAGAATTATAGAAAAACTGAAAACGAAGAATTTCGATTAAAAAAAAAAAAGTAATACATCTTGATAGGAAAGAAAAAAAATATCAAAAATGTGAACGTTCCAAGGAAAAATAAAGATGACTATTCGGGATATAGAGAAGATAAATTTGGAAAAAGATCTGAAATCTTAAAAAAAATATTTCGAAGACATGCAGTGAAATCAAAAGTACACACAAATATGTTCATTTATCGATGGGAATAATGTGCAAAATGTGTGCATGTTAAAAAATTGATTGAACGTTACGGCAGAAAATTATAGGAAATCAAGAAAAAAAAAAAGAAACAAATAAAAGAAAAAAAATGGTTTCAATAGTAGCGCATAAGGGAAGCTAACGGATGTTCTGGATGGGAGAGAATAAGCTGCTTAAACTTTGATATGGGGCTTTCAAATAATCTATACGTTCCCGCACTCTCTCACATGTGTCTCTGTGTGTGTGTGCGCGCGCGCATTGGCGCGTGCGTGCATGTACAAGCGCGATTTTCCATCAGAGCCTGCGTGTTGTGAGTGCATACGTATGTTTATATATATATATATATATATATATATATATATATATATATATATATATATATATATATTGTTATAAATACAAATAAAATGCACAAACACGCACGTGCGTATATTAAGCGCGGTCGCGCGCACACACTCAAACAGAGACACAGAAGTGTGAGTGAGAGAATGAGAGGGAGAAAAAGAGATAATATATATATATATATATATATATATATATATATATATATATATATATATTTATAAATTATAAACGTGTATATATATATATATTATAGAATTTATATATATATATATATATATATATATATATATCTAATAGAATAAATTATAAACGTGTATATATATATTATAGAATTAATATATATATATATATATATATATATATATATATATATATATATATATATTTTCATAGTGAAAAAAACATGTACACATCAAGTGCTCCAAACCAGCTGCTATCTTCAGCTGTACGCCGTGCTCCAGCAAATTTTTGGCCCATTATGCTCAGATCTTTCCAGACAGTGGGCCCGCAACAGCTCGATGATGTTACGTTGCAACCGGTCTAAGTTAGTTAGATACTACTCAATAGGAATTTATGGGAAATCCATAGAGGGCCTCCAATATTGCCTATCGATGTCAGTTAACTCTAGATCGGGCCTCAGTCCAGACACAATAACCTCCATTGGCAGTGTAGCATTAACTCAAAGTCTCCACTTCCTTGAGACCTCCGACCTGGTCTTCTGCCTTGTGTCAGTCACACCTTGCTTCAGGTAGGCAATTCCTCGCATCTCCGTCGAGGGTATACGAGTATTTCTCATGGATGCTGCGATGGCCTTCAGAACCAAGTAATGTCTGAAGCTGTACCAGCCGTTCTGTTGCACCTTCATGCTGGATAACACTATATTGCGCAGGTTTCCATATGCTCCGCACAGCCAGCAGGAGGGTGAATCTTGCACTCTCCATCTCTTCAAATTTGCCGTTGATGTTGTCACATCATATTCTGCCTGTATTAGAAACCTCAAATGCCCTGTGCTGAGACGACACCAATCAGACCAACTGATCTGAACACCGTCCCAGTTGAGTTATCCACCCTGCTGAGCCTGCTTTACAGTCCGCACTAAACATCACTCCTCCTCGAGTTACCGAACCCCCTGTTTTTGTAACTTGCGTTCCTCCTATCTACTGGCTTCTGACCAGAATACCTCTCAACTAGACCAAGTTCTGCACCTCCTTTCCTTGCAACACCCTGAACTTCTGCCTGTTTTAACATCACTTCCACAGTTGAGATCTCGTCTGAAACTTTCCACTTTCTTCCTGTCTTCACCTCTGGCATACTTTCCCGGATAGCAGCATCCTTAGATTCACACACCATGGACTGCAATCTCATCTTTGCCATCTTGTACTCTTCCACCTAAGAAGTAATAGGTAACAGAAGCAAGCCAGATGCCATACAAAGCAACCGGTGTCAGATTCCTTGCAACACCAAGCCACTTCCGTACGCATTTATGATTTTCCTCTCAATTACCGAACTTCTAAACAGTTCCACTTCACATATAGTTAACGGCCATATTAGTCTCGGCATCAATTCAAAATGCATACACCAGACTTTAAATTTCCCCGGAAGCACGCATTGGCCTTTTCTTCGCAGAAGCACCTCTGCTTGTTGCTGGATTTCAATCCTACGGTGATGATGTGTCACAGGGCAGTTATCATCTCTCAAGACTCTTCACACCTTGCTTCCGGACTGTTGGTGTCATTCATTTGCGACGGAAAACAGTTCATGTAAGACAACTTCTCTTCAAAGAGAGTGACTGTTGAGATGTTGAGTGTTTCCCCGTGCGTGTATTGAAATAAGGACAAACACATACGTAGGGAAAAATACTGGTATATCTGAAGAGGTATTTACAACAGAGAGATTAGTAGTCAAACGAACGCAGGTTAGTCAGTAACAATCTGAAAGAGTATAACGTCCAACTGTATCTTCCGGTAGAGAGACGGAAGTGTGATGGTCACCTGATCTCTTAGAACTCTATAGAACTGCACTATTAGTAGTAGAGAGATCAGTCTGTTCTGATGAGAAGGTGGGTGGCCCCAACAGTGACCTTCTCTTCTTTGGTTTGAAGGCCATCAGACTCTACCAACTCTGCAAGTCTATCCAGTACCAACTGTGCTACATTCTTATCATCATGAATTATCATTAAATCATCCATAAATGTCCAGATTTGGACCTAATTCTGCAGGAAGCGGTACTCTGGCGTCAGACTTCTCAGGATCACATCCATCACCATGACAAAGAGTACTAGACTGATGGCACATACCATAGCAATTCCCTTCTGCAGCTCCACACACATTGTAGTGTACATCATTGTTGAAAATCGCAGCATGAACTGATTGAAGTCCATAGCCGGACAATCCCTGAGTATCTGCGGAACGTATAATAACTCCAACGCCAGCTGTATCATGCTATGCGAAACTGAACCATACGCATTAGAAAGATACAGCTAGATTAGGTGAATAATATTCCTTTCAGTTTTCGCTTCGCGGATGAAATCATTGACACATGTTCCAAGCACCCCGGAAACCCCGAGACAGCTGCCTTTTGAATACAAGTGTCTATATAGTTATTTCCAAGCAGGTAACCCGTCAGCCTCCTGGCAAACACCTTAAAGAACACCTATCTTTCAACGTTCACAAGAGATATTGGGGAAAAGTGACAGCGAATTCTCGTATACACACACACACACACACACACACACACACACACACACACACACACACACACACATACGTATGTATATATATGTATATATATATATATATATATATATATATATATATATGTATATATATATATATGTATGTATATATATATATATATATATATATATATATATATATATATATATATATGTATATATATATATATATATATATATATATATATATATGTATATATATATATATATATATATATGTATATATATATATATATATATATATATATATATATATATATATATATATGTGTGTATATATATATATTTATATATATATAAATTGTGTATTTAGGCAGCATTTTTTTTCATTCATACATTTTTCAATAAATAATATAGACAACTGTTGTCTATTTATTTTATGGAAAAAATGGATCAATATTGTGATTTTCTTTCATCGTTTAATGATAATGTTATTAAGCTTAGCAGACGTTATGAAAAGCATTTACATAAAATAGACAACACATGTCTATATTATTTAATGACTCATGAATATATATATATATATATATATATATGCACGTGTATAATTTATTCTATAATATGTATAATAATTTATAGAATAAATTATTCACATATACATACTATACACAAAATATATATATATATATATATATATATATATGTGTGTGTGTGTGTGTGTGTGTGTGTGTGTGTGTGTGTGTGTGCGTTTGCGCGCGTGCGTGTGTTCAGGTAACATATTCAGATTTTTAGAAAAATGCAATACGTTACATGAACTCAGAAAGTAATTCCTTTTATTCACACGGCCGTCTACAAAAATTTGCTTTCTTATATTCATATATAATAAGCAAGTCTTGGCGTCAGATTAGACGCATTGCTTTCTTTGAATTTGCAGATAATTAAGATTTGTCGTTAGATAAATATTGTGGAGGACCACTTCCGAATATGATCAACGATATTTTCCCACCATAAAAATGATATTTAAAAATATGAAAAAATATTTATTACCAATAAATTTGAGATTAATCAATCTAATATTATTGTTTTTTCCTTTAGCCTGTTTTACATCATAAAAATGAACAATATTTATTCGCTTGTAACATTTTTTGTTCCTTTAAGCTTTGACCATGGTGAACGTACATTTCTTATACAAAGCTGAAATTTTCACATTTAATTGTTTATACATATTTTCGCATATTCGAGGTTATTATATTACAAAAATGATTATCGATATTGAAACATGATATAAAATATATATATATATATATCAAAAATGATTATCGATATTGAAACATGATATTTTTTACTGTATATATATATATATATATATATATATATATATATATATATATATGTGTGTGTGTGTGTGTGTATGCTGCTGAATGATACATTTTAAACGCATACATAAAACAACATACACCCGTGTCCCATAAATTCGGATTTGTAATCGCATTCTATACAATACATGCATAAAAACTCTCTTTTTCTCTCTTTACACAGGCGTACCACACACACACACACACACACACAATTATATGGTAAACAAACAGATCATTAAAATTTAACTAAAAGGAAATGCCGATATGTCTTAAATGTCCCTGACAAGTGAAAGTAATTAAGTGAAATCTTTAGTTCTTCTCTCTCTCCCTGTGTCTCTGTATCTCTCTCTCTCTCTCTCTCTCTCTATATATATATATATATATATATATATATATATATATATATATGTGTGTGTGTGTGTGTGTGTGTAGCAAACTCTGTTGAATGAACAAATCGGAGTTTCCTGTGATTTGCAATCTCCGGGTGTAAATTTGGGGTAATACCGTCTAATGTTTGTCACAAGATAGTTTATTGTTAGGGAGAGTAATTATTGTTGTTAAATATTTAAATGAATTGTAGTTATTTTTTTATTTGAATTTCGGCCCATATTAACATTTAAGTTTGTAAATAAGATTGAAAAAAGATTTATAAAATTCAATTTGAAAACAGACGCTGATAAATTTACAAACGTTTGGAGGTCAATGAGCTCAACTCCATTTTTTTTAACAATCAGTAATAAAATTAATAAAATTCAGATGCTAACAAAGATAATACATCATATTAAAATAAAAAATATATTAAAATAGTGTAAAGTTGAATAAAATAAAATGAAAATGAAAATATATAATAAATCATAATAATAATAATAAAAACAAAATACGTTCATAATAATAAGAGGAACAATACAATTAAGATGAAAAATTAATAATGGTTATATACTAAAAATAGTAATAATATGATAATGAAAATAATAAAATTAGCAGAAATGATAAATACATTACAAACTAATAATAACAAGAGTTGCAAAAATTACATGGTAAAGAGAGTGAAAATATTAATAAAAATAAATATTATGATAATAATAAACAATATCACTACAAGTATTTGTGGCTCCCGGCTTGGCTAAACTAATAATGTGTGTCAACGTGTTTGAGTAGAAATTTGGTCCTAGGCATACAGGCATTCATTAATACACTTCTCTTGTTTAAAACATTTGGATTCTTCATATATTTAGGATCATTATTTTTTCAGAATGTTTTCAGAATGAGAGATACAGATACAAAAGGACGTGTACCTATGATTCATAAACTACGCAAAGACCCTCGACAAAGTACGCCACAAGGATCTGATGGAACTGTCCAGCAACCTTGATATATTCGGGAAAGATCTCAGTGTAATCAAGAACCTATACTGGAAGCAAACATATGCATTCGCATAGAGAACGAGTTCTTTGATTATACAAAAATAGAAAGGGGCTAAGACTTGGATGCGTTTTCTCACCGGAAGTGCTCAACCTATACAGCGAGGCAATACTGAAGTAATTGGAAAGCCTACCGGCATAAAGCATTGGTTGTCACAAACTTAACAACATAAGATACGCAGATTATCGAGTACTGGCAGCAGATACCGAAATGAAATTACAAAATCGCCTACAGAATGTAGCGATAGAGAGCGAGAAGAAGGGACTAAGCATAAATTACAAGAAGACGGTGTGCATGGGCATAATTAAGAGAACGAACCAGAAATGCGTTATGAAGGCCGGGAACGCTAGAATCAAGCAGACGCGGAAGTTTAAATACCTGGGAACCGTCTTGGCAGAAGACGGTAAGTGCGACACTGAGACCCGTAGACGTATTAGGATGGCCAAGGACACATTCCAAAACCTGGGCAGAGTACTGCGAGACAGGA